CCCCCCCCCCCCCCCCCCCCCGTGAACTGTTTGACAAGAGACAAAGGAAATACAGGATTTGAAACTTCTTGGATGATGATTGTTATTTATTTATTGTTGCTGAAAAAAATATTTTTTCTGAATTTCACCTTGTTTTTAAGCCAGCCAGATGAGCTTTTAGATGTTTTAACACTCTAAATTTGCTTTCAGACCCTCAGGCAGTTTGATTGCTTCTACACAAGATAAACCCAATCAGCAAGATGTTGTGTTTTTTGAGAAAAATGGACTTCTTCATGGTAACTTTATGCTTCCCTTCTTCAAGGATGAAGTTAAGGTAGGAATCTGATTTGTTTGTCATAAAATTTAGAAGACTGGCCAGGGATTTAGCTCAGTAGTTCTGCTGCCTGCCTCGCAAACGCAAGGTCCCAAGTTTGATCTCTGGTACGAAAAAAAAAATTTTTTTTAGGAGACTTCTTCAGCTGCAGAGGTTTATATTTGATATGGGTGTGTAAATACAAGCATTAACATAGATAGTTTTATGACTGCCTTTTTTTCTTAAAGAGAAATTATTTTTTGTACATTTTGTACATTTCTTCATTGTAGGTAAAGTACAGAAAGGAAATAGACATACTAGTTTTTATTGTTTATTTTGACAACATTAAGTTTTTTAGTGATCAAGACATTTTTCATTTTGAACATTTAAACCTGAAGCAGCTTATGTATCATTGAAATTCTGCTAAAATAGAAACACATCAAATGATAATATTTAATTATGTAAAACTTTAGCAGTTAAGACTATTTTTCTTTACAAAACCATAATCTTATTATTATATCAGACTGTCTAAAAATGTTACCTTGTATTTTGGTTAAATTTCTTAGGTGTCTTTTAATCCTTCAAGAATGCATTCTTAAGTCCTTTCTTTATATGACATTTCAAAGATTTAGCAACTCTGTAAGTTAATACAGCTAGGGATCAGCTCAAGTAGTGTGAGGTTATTTCATTTGTGAGAGTAGGAAATTCAACTGTTTTAAAGATTCTCAAATAATTCTAAGGTAATTGCATAGCTAAAGAACAATGGCTTTTTTCCCAAATTTCCCTGTTAGGTGAATGACTTGCTCTGGAATGCAGATTCCTCTGTGCTTGCTGTTTGGCTAGAAGACCTTCAGAGTGAAGAAAATCCTGCTTTGAAAACCTATGGTAAGATAGATGTAGTATCTTAGCTTATGCTTCATGAAATGTAGTTGAGAATAGAAGAGCGTGGGATTTCTCTCATCCCTTCTATTTAATTTCTTAGTGGATTCAAAGAAGCTGAAGTGGGTAGATGCACATGGCGGAGTGGTTAAGTTTGATCATTTATGGATTCAGCCATGTATTGATCAAGGTTCTCTAGAGAAGCAGATCCAGTAGGATATTTGTAGGGACTGGGCAAAGAGATGTGGATGTGCTTATAGCAGATGGCAAGTTTGAAATTCATAGCACTGGCTACCAGGCTGGAAACTCAGGATTTTTATGTTAATAGTCTTAAGGCAGAATTCCTTCTTTTAAAGTGAACTGACTGTAAATGTTAATCACATTTATAAAATACCTTCATAGCAACATCTACATCAGTGTTAAACAAGGCACCATTGCATAGTCAAGCTGACAAATGGACCACTGCAAATCTTTAGTGTTTTTTCTTCTTGGATGGTGTTGCTGCAGATAATCAAAATGTTAACAAAGGAATATTGAGGAAGTGAAGACATTTAGATTGGGCTAAGAATCTTTCTTAAAGCTTTTTAAATGTGTAAATACGTTTTAAGTATTAAATAATTTATAAAAGCATTAGAAAGTAAAAGAAGGAAAAATTCCTGTAATCTTGTACTCATTTGTCTTAGTTGCTTTTTTTCTTACTGAGACAAAACACCTGACACCCAAACTTAAAGGAAGAAAAGTTTATTGCAACTTACAGTTGGTAGAGGTTTCAGTTCATAGTTGGCTGGTTCCAAAGAGGGTGACATGGCAGAAGAGCATTACAGAGGAGAAACAGTTCATGGCAGGCAGAAGGCAGCCAGGCAATAAGCAGCAAAGTAGTAAGGCGGCAGCAGCAGCCTAGGGCCTCTCCCTTCTACTCCTTCTAGGCTCCCTATCTTTTGAGTAGTGCCACCCACAACCAGATTTCCCCTTTCCATCATCTATACCCAGAACTATGCCAAACCAGTCCAGTGGACTAATTTAGTAATCATGCACTTTTAATCCTAGATCACACACCCTAGATTGAACAACCCCTCAAAGCCCCACCTATGACTATGTGAGGCTTTGGGGGGAACATTTAGATATAATCCATAACATTAGTGTGTGTGTGTATGTGTGTATTATATATATTTATAGGTATATATAATGACCTGTAGTTTGTTTTTTGAGATAGGATCTTGCTACATAGCCAGGCTATCCTTGAACTAACTGTGTAGCCCAAAGTCATGCAATCAGTCAAACTCATGAAATCCTCTTGCCTCAGCCTCCTGAGTGCTGAGATTATAGACATGTGCCACCATGCCCTGCAACAATCACTATTAACATATTCTTGTTTTCTTGGTTTATGTGTATATGTCACTATAGCTATGATCTCATTTTTTTTTAAAGTATAGGTAATGATACATCCTTGTAGCTTGCTCTTTTTTTTGTTTTGTTTTTTTTGAGACAGGGTCTCACTATGTAGTGAGACTGACCCGGAACTCACTATGTAGCCCAGGCTGGTCTTGAACTCATAGTGATCCTCCTGCCTCAGCCTCCTGAGTGCTGATATTACAGGCGTGCACCACCATGCCCGGCCTTTTAACTTACTTTTTAAATTTGTTTTTTTATTTAAAAATTACTAGTTATGTCTGTAGTACATAATGATTGCATTCATCACGGGATCATGGGGAGTTGGTACATGTATAGTACATGTTGGTACATAGCTTGGAACTTACTTTGACACTGTCACATGAATAGTTTATTTTTGATACCAGGGACTGAACTCAGGACCTTGTTCTTGTGAGGCAGGTGGCAGAACCACTGAGCTAAATCCCCAGTCCTGTGCATATTTTTATTTCAGATGTACATCTGCATCATTTTAAAATGTTGTATAATCTTTTGTGCCAGTTTATTAAATCTCTTGCTGTTAGGCTTTTAATTTCTCATTATTGTCTACTACAGTATATTCAGCATGTTTGTTTATAAATCTTTCTGCTTATTTCCTAAGTGGCTTTCAAATTCTAATGAGTAGAGCCTTTTAACTGGAATGTTACCAAGATACACATTGACTCATTCAGCATAATGGCTCTCATTCCTGCCTGTACCTTTAGGAAAATATTGATACTGGGGTTTCATTCCAGAGTTGGATTCAATGTGTTAACATAAGAGCTATACATCAATAATTAATTAATTAGTTCTTTTTGGCAGCATTGGACATTGAACCTGGGGACTTGCAAAATTAAAAATAAAAACACACTCCCTGGTGAATTTAGCATATACCCACAGCTAAGAATCACTGAGTAACTGGTATGTCGAGGGATGGCACTGTGATATGCTGAGGATAAACTATTGCATAAGAGTAGGCACAACATCTTTCTTCATGAAGTATGAGCCTGCAGTCTAATTTACCAGCTCAGGATTACATAGAAGTATTGTAGTAGTGTAGTTTTATTTGTTGTGATCATGAAGTTAGAATCCGTGAGCAGGAATATTACTATAAGATTTTAATTTGTATGTATCGTCTGTTTTGATAAAACTTGGTTTTGACCTAATATGGTCTTGTTCTGTTAATACACATTAAAAAGGATACTTGCATGTATGCTAATCTTCTTTGGGCAGCTGAGTCATAGTTAATATCAGATAGCATGGTATCTGGAGGAAAAGCACCTGGAAGACTAATTCAACATGGCAATACTGATCCAGACCTTAGGTTGAGTGTTTTAGCACAGTTACGTACAAAATAATGACATTTCAGTCAAACACAGACCACATATTTAATGGTGGCTCACATGAGATTGTATCACTCAGGGACATCATAACCATCCATTTGTTGTAAGTATACTTTATGATGCTCACAGCAATAAAATCTCATAAAAATGTGTTTTGCAGAATGTATACCTGTTGTTAACTGATGCATGACTAGATTTATAGTCTTGATTGTCAAGATATTTCTAACACTCATGAAGAAAACTTAGTAAAACCCTGTCTTGTTCTAGTAGCTTCCATTCATGATCATAAAGTTTGAAGGTTAGAGGTAAAAACCATATACTTCTGAATTACTGAGGCTTGGCATTTTATTTCTATGGAAAAACTATCTTTTAACTTAAAAGTATTATGATGGTGATTATTGAATTATTATGTTAATGAAGAAGCCAAGCAGAAAAAAATATTTGAAAAAAGACAAAATTGTCACTGTTTCCATTAGCAAATAGTATAAAGTCGGCCTGGCCTCTGAAGACCTTGTTTTTGTTTTCCCTGTAGTTCAACTTTGGACTATTGGAAACTATCATTGGTATCTCAAACAAAGTCTGCCCTTCAGCACCAGTGAGAAGAGCAAGATTGTGTCTCTTATGTGGGATCCAGTGACCCCATATCGGCTGCATGTTCTCTGTCAGGGCTGGCATTACCTCTGCTATGACTGGCACTGGACGACTCACCGGAGCTTGGGAGATAACTCAAGTGACTTGGCAAATGTGGCTGTCATTGATGGAAGTAAGTGGCTGGGGAATGTGTCCATGAGCTTTTAAGGTGTCCTTCAAATGTGTTAGAACAGAATTCTGGGAAAAAATCTATGTTTTAGTTGTTTGGTGCATTTTTATTTATGTGTTTTGTTTCCAACTGACTGGGAATGCTGGTTGGGGCAATATGTTCTCAGGAGAGAACACCCATTTTCATTTTTGTACTTTATTCATGGGCTTCATGCATTTAGTCATCTGGCCTCTGAAGACTTTGAAAATTTTGACCTTTTATAGAGAAGTCAGTAGTAGAATCTTGTGGTTTGGCTGTGTTAGTTTTTTTCTCCTCGGTCTGACAAACTTAGGTTGACCCTTGTATCCCTCCACTTACATTGCTTTGTTTGCCGATACAAGTACTTGCGAATTATTTCTCTAGGATATTCAGTTTATTTCATAGAAATCTGTATAGGTTATTTTTTCTCTTAAATTCTTTTATTGGTACATTTTAGGTACACAGTACATTTATAACTTAGTAAAACCCTGTCTTGTTCTAGTAGCTTCCATTCATGATCATAAAGTTTGAAGGTTAGAGGTAAAAACCATATACTTCTGAATTACTGAGGCTTGGCATTTTATTTCTATGGAAAAACTATCTTTTAACTTAAAAGTATTATGATGGTGATTATTGAATTATTATGTTAATGAAGAAGCCAAGCAGAAAAAAATATTTGAAAAAAGACAAAATTGTCACTGTTTCCATTAGCAAATAGTATAAAGTCGGCCTGGCCTCTGAAGACCTTGTTTTTGTTTTCCCTGTAGTTCAACTTTGGACTATTGGAAACTATCATTGGTATCTCAAACAAAGTCTGCCCTTCAGCACCAGTGAGAAGAGCAAGATTGTGTCTCTTATGTGGGATCCAGTGACCCCATATCGGCTGCATGTTCTCTGTCAGGGCTGGCATTACCTCTGCTATGACTGGCACTGGACGACTCACCGGAGCTTGGGAGATAACTCAAGTGACTTGGCAAATGTGGCTGTCATTGATGGAAGTAAGTGGCTGGGGAATGTGTCCATGAGCTTTTAAGGTGTCCTTCAAATGTGTTAGAACAGAATTCTGGGAAAAAATCTATGTTTTAGTTGTTTGGTGCATTTTTATTTATGTGTTTTGTTTCCAACTGACTGGGAATGCTGGTTGGGGCAATATGTTCTCAGGAGAGAACACCCATTTTCATTTTTGTACTTTATTCATGGGCTTCATGCATTTAGTCATCTGGCCTCTGAAGACTTTGAAAATTTTGACCTTTTATAGAGAAGTCAGTAGTAGAATCTTGTGGTTTGGCTGTGTTAGTTTTTTTCTCCTCGGTCTGACAAACTTAGGTTGACCCTTGTATCCCTCCACTTACATTGCTTTGTTTGCCGATACAAGTACTTGCGAATTATTTCTCTAGGATATTCAGTTTATTTCATAGAAATCTGTATAGGTTATTTTTTCTCTTAAATTCTTTTATTGGTACATTTTAGGTACACAGTACATTTACATTCATCATTGGGAACTTGTACCTTTACATGATGTATCTTGGTTCCTATTTTTTCCCCATTCCCTGCCCTCCCTTCAACCCCTCTACCCCTCCCTATTTGCAAAGGCTTTGTTTCCATTTATTTATTGTCATATTTTTTCCTATCCCTTCTTTCTTTTCCTCTCCCACCTCCCCTACCCCTTTGGGCCTTTCTTCCTATTTCACATTATCCATTATTCATTTTAATCTTTGTTTATACTTTCAGTTTCTTATACCAGAGAAACTATTCAGTATTTACACGTGTGCTATTTATTTTACTCGAGTATATCCTCAATGTGCATCCATTTAGCTCTAAATGTCTCTAATTTCTAGGTTGGTATTTTAAGATTAGGTGAAAGCTTTTTTTGGGGGGGCACTGGATTGGTGAGTGAAGTAGTTACCCAAATAGTTTACTTATTGCTTCTAAACTCTTGTGGATTTTTTTTTTTTTTTTTTTTTTTTTTTTTTTTGTGGTACTGTGCATTGAACTCAGGACCTTGCAGGTGCGAAGCCATTGAGCTTAAATCACCAGCCCTTGTTTCTAAACTCATAATGAGAGTTGTTGTACTAATGTCTATTCTTTGTGGTGATTGTAATACTGATTTTTCAATCATATATTCTGTATAGCAAACTTAATTGGTTCTCATTACAAATCGACACATAGGAAACTGCTTTAAGAATTTTCAAAAAATTGATTCCCTGTCTTGGCCACAGGCCAAGTTTTAACACCAGAACTCTGATCTGTTGGCCTTTTTACACCCAAAATTTCCAAGTTCATAGATGGACCACTGCAGGCCTGGTGGATGATAATAGCCAGATACAGAAAGAGCCTGTGATGCTTCCCTCTTTCTCCGTATTATTTTTAAGCTTATTCATAAGAAAAACACCAAAAAACCTTTATGAAGAATTGGTGTATATTTTCTGCCATCATTACTACTCGGGATTACAGTAATGTTTAGATACAGTAAGTCCTCAACTTACAAACAGTAGAGTTGCAAACTTTTGCAGACACAAATGGACCTCGCATTGTGAGTATTCGTAGGTGCAAACAAATCATGAAAGTAGCTCTGGTGTTTTCTGGACATTGTGCAGTTGTGTTGCTGTGTGCTTACAGTACAGTGCAATAGTATATAGTAGTACAGTACAGTCGGCCTTCTGTATTTGTGTGTGTGTGTGTTTGGTTTTTTTATGCTTTACATTGTATATTTATGTCAAAAGTGTGTAAGACTCACTTTGTTGGGCTTATGAATGAATCCAGTTTACAAACATTCTCCCAGAATGGAACTCGTGCATAGGTTGGTACTTAACTGTACCTGTTTCACACATTGGATATCTAATTTTCTTCTATTTCACTTGCAGATAAGGTGTTGGTCACAGTCTTCCGACAGACTGTGATTCCACCTCCCATGTGCACATACTACCTGCTGCTTCCACATCCAGTGAATCAAGTCATGTTCTCTGCACACTCAAAAAAAAGTAATGACCTTGCTGTCCTAGATGCCAGTAACCAGGTTTCTATCTACAAATGTGGTATGTTAAAAGACTGTTACCAAAATGTTCTGAATTAGGGCCCCTTGTATACAAAAGCAAATTATTGTTTGGTTTTTAAATGTTTAAAAAATTTTGAAGTCTGTTATTCTCAGTATTATTATGATATTTAATTGGCTTGTATTATTTTGAATCCTACTCTAGTTTAAGGACTTTCTTTCCTCCCTCCCTCCCTCACTCTTTCTCTGTCTCTCTCTCTCTCTTTCTTTCTTTCTTCTTTGTACGGGGGATCGAACTCGGGCCCTTGGGCTTCAGAGATATGCACTGGAACCACTAAGCTAAATCCCTCGCTTACTCTAGTTTAAAAGCATTTCTGTTTGCCTTACTGATTTTGAAGAGTCAATTACTTAAGAATAACATTCAACCCTGGAAATAACATCGTGTCTTATTACGTCTTTGACATGCTTTACTGTTTTCATTGCCTTACAGGTTTTTAGTTGGTCTTGTGCTCTATTGAAACCATGTCAGAGGTGGTTTTTCCTACTTTGTAAGTGAGGGCATACAGTGCCAGAGGGTTTGCACTGTCCTTGAGCAAGAACAGGCAGTAACCTAACACAGGAGTTCCTGCTCCTACTTTAGTTGTCTTTTCATAGTCTCTCTGTTGCTATCTTGATACAATGGTATACTTGATTTTTTTTTTTTTTTTTTTTTTTTTTTTTTTTGGTAAGCTTTAGGATCATGTCATAAAGTAAATTGGCATATGGAAATGATCCTTGTTTCAAATATCCTTTGACTATGCAGTCAGAAAAAGCCTTGGCAGCTGCTGAGAGAGAATAATTAATTAATTCATGCTAATGTTCCCTGCTTTTGCATCAGCTTTCCTGCTAAATCAATAGCCTACCATTCACATGAATCCTTTTTAGATATAGTTGGCTATTACAGTCCTTAAAGTTTTAAAAATAGCTTTTTAAGAAGTAATGATAATGTGTTCATTATCAAGATAGTATAGTACATCATTTGGTAAGTGCTGTGGAGAAAAATTAAGCAAAGTGAGATACAGGAGAAAGCTTGAGGATAGGGACCTACTAGGAGAACATGACTTATATCTAGGATGATCAGGGAAGGCCTCTCTGAGGATAATATTAAGCAGAGATCTGGTTAGAATCAGAGTGAGCCATATGAACATGTGGAGTGAGAGCATTCAGAAGAGAATAAAAAGCAGCTGCGAAGGTGTCTGTTGTGTTTAGAAAACGCCTAGGAGTTCGTGGTGGCTGTGGCAGAGAAAATGAAGGGAGATTGGTGGGTGGGGCCCTAGAAATGTTATGGAACAGCTCTTACAGGGCTATGAAGGCTTTTTACTCTGAGTGAGCTATAAAGCCTCGAGTGGGCTTGACACTGAGAAGTTCAGTATTCTGACTGATTTTTGTTTGTTTTGGTTTTGGTACTGAGGATTGTACCCAAGGTCTTATGTGTGCCAGACAAATATTGTGCCACTGAATGACATCCCCAACCCATTTTATTTTTTATTTTGAGATAAGGTCTCAGTTCTCACTAAGTTTCCCAGGGTCACCTCAAACTTAACATCTGCTGCCTTCATCTCCTGGGTAGCTGGGATTATAGGCTTGCACTACCATACCCTGTATGACTAAATTTTTGCAGGATTGCCTTGCCCACTGGGAATACATTGGATCAAGAGTAGAAAAGAAAATGTATTTTAAATGAGTGCTGAGGATTTAAAGATGTGAGGTAACTGAGAGAGGACAGTGGAGGAAATAGCACGGAATTAGAAGGTAGGCAGGCCCTTCACCTGGTTTTGTTTATTGGTAAAAGTTGTACCTGACCTGGTGTTAACAGGAAGCAGGTTTTGGCTAAGCCTCAAAGATATGCAGAGATTTAAGAAAGAGGTTGACATGTGGCTGTTTTCTAGATTGCTTTAATTACCTTCTAGAACTCATTAATTGTGGAGCTTCCATCCCTTTAGTGTCAGGGAAATGGTTTACAATTTACAATGGTAATATCTGCCTTCTTATTTTCTAGGTGATAGTGTAAGTATGGACCCCACTGTGAAACTGGGCGCTGTGGGTGGAAGTGGATTTAAAGTTCCTCTTAGAACACCTCATCTGGAAAAGAGATACACGTAAGTTCTTAATTATTTTGGGCCTCTGGGAACAGAACAAGCAGCACTTTTTTCTAGTCAACCACCTGTTACTCTCTGCCTATTGCTGAGTTGAACTAGAAGGAGATACAGCAGCCAGGCCATGGTTGTTCATCCAGATTGAGGGGGCTACTCAGTTTATCTGAGTGCTCTGTATTCCAGTGGGTGGCAAGGAAATAGGAATCATAAGCCAGTCAGAACCCACTTGCCAGCTCAAAATAGCCATTGGTTCTCCAGGGAAAATCACACAGGAAAGATAGAGGTAAAGATTATAGGCAGAGGTGTACCCTCTTACATATATATATGGAGGTATATGTTAATATGTGAATGATTCAGTGCAGCTTTGGACTTGGCCTCATCCCAGACTCTGTAACTTATGGGTGTTATATTTTGAAGTTCTTGGACTGGAATCAGAATCTTTTTTTTTTTACAGACAACTGGACATTTGCAAAATGACCCAGATGCCAAATTATAATACCACTTCTGTGGCAAAAAAAAAAAAAAATTTTTTTTACATGCTATTTATTGAGTGCTTACAGATTAAAAACAAAGTTATAGGATACGTAGCTTGACCAAGGTCATGAACCTGCTACCTGCAGGATCCAAGTTTATTCTATGTTCTTAATTACTGACCTACTCTGCCTACTGAGAGTGTCTATTAGTAAATTAATAGATAAAAGTCTAGTGTAGCAAATAACAATTGAATAAACATTAAGTATACAGCCTGTGTATAGTTTGGGGGCTGTTTATATAATGTTTAATACTTTTAAAAGAATATTTATTTGCCTATTTCTTCTTAGACTGTGTTAGCTTTCCAATATTATAACAAATACCTGAGATAAGTCAACGTACAGAGAAGAAGGGTTTATTTTGGCTGACAGTTTTGGATCCAAATTTCAGCACACAGACTTGAAACTACTAAAAGATAAAATATAAGGCAAATTAGAAAATAGGATCCAGTTTAGAATATAGCTTTATTTTTTAGGAAATTGAGAGGAACAGATCCAATTCATTCAGAGAAGATACCATGAATGACAGGAACACTTATCTTGATCCTTGCAGAAAAAAATTGGTTTTGGGTTGGAAAGGCTGGGAGAGCGTTGGTGAGAACCAGAGATGGGAATCATTTTACGTAGAGAATACTGTGAAGGGGCCAAGTTTGGGAAGAGATGGTTGAATAGGAAGATCATGGTATGACCTGCTTCTTAAGTGGGAGCTGAGGTGTCGTTGGATATAAAAAGCAGAAAGTAGCCTGTATGGATTCCTATGTGATGTAGCAAAATCAGTGCCCTAAACAGTGCCATAGGTCAGGTGAATAGATAAATAGATGCTCCCTAAAGAAGGCAGCAGATACACAGAAACCATCTCCCAAACTAGTCACTTTGATGTTAGGTCCTTAGGAAAAGGCTCGTCTTACTTTGACCCAGGTATCTATGAGCATCTAGTTTGAATGCTAATAAGTGGTAACAGTGAAAGCGTGGGACAGGTAATTTCCTTGTACAATAGATTTTCTGATATGTTCTCTTCAACTCTAAAGATCTCAGGCTGTGGGAAGCTTAATTTAAAGTAAATACAGCGGGGGATGTAGCTCAGTGGTATAGCGCCTGCCTGGCAAACATGAGGCCCTGAGTTTGATTTCGGGCACAGCCGCCCCCATGTCTTTAAAATAAATACGAAGAGAGATTAAGCCAGACAGACATTATTTTTGGATTTTTCTAGTATTTAGCTCAGGTTTTGTTCCTCTGAATAATTGGGAGATGACCGTGTACTACTACATGGTTCATTCTTTATTCAGGAAAGATTTTAAAAGTTCAGTGCTTTTAAAGTTTTATTCATATCTTGGATTTAAAATTTTTTTTTAACATTTAAAACAGAATTCAGTTTGAGAATGGTGAAGATCAAGAAGTAAACCCACTGAAGCTCACCCTTCTCACCTGGATTGAAGAAAACAGTTTCCTGGCTGTAAGCCACAGTCAGGTCAGCCCACGGTCTGCTGTTCACCGTTTGACTATAGCCTCTTCTGAGGTGGCTGAGGAGCAAGGGCAGCTCACCCTCAGGTATTGCAGTCCTTCTCTTCTCCCCATGCTCAGTAAACATGTGACGTTATGCTGTGATCTTTTATGTTCATAGGCCTTTTTTAAAAAATTCTAAGACCAAAGTTGAGCAGTGGTTTTCTTGTTAGACACACTTTGGAAGAGGATTAAGTCTGTTGAGCCATATCAAAATAACAGACCAAAATTATATCAAGGAATAGTGAAAAGTGAGACATACCAATAGAGGCAAAACATTGAAGATATATCAAATTGACCAGCTTTTTGAATGCATACAATTTACATTATCTAAAATATCTAAACTATGCAAGTTTCTTCTCTTCAAATTTGAAGTTCTTTATCATTACTTTGAAGAAAGAAAAGCTAGATAGAGTTACCTCCTTTGGAAACAAAGCCATTTACAATATTTTTCTACTGCTTTGACTTGTTTCTCAGGAACTATTTTGTTCATGTAAACTATGTCTTTAAGGAATGGAATGTCCCCCAGTTTTTAGCAATTGATAGCTTGCATTACTATAGGTATGCTTTTTAAAAGATAGTCTTAACTACCTCTTCTATTAAGGAATTTTTCTTCTCTCTATTCATAGACTCTGGAAAAAATGTAATGGCAATAACAAAATCCCTCTTATTAATACAGTTTTCTTTCATGCTTATGATAGCAAGAGAGAAATTGAGTGTGTCCTTTTTTCTGTATACCAGTTTATTCATGCAATTTATAGTTTAAGAAAAATGATACTGGTACTGTGGAATATCTAATGAGACATTAAATTATAGTAAGTTACTGCCAAAATAGGTATAATGACTTTACATTGTAGGCAGCAGTTTTGCAGAAAATAGGGTTATGTAACAAGTTACTGCTTTCACTGGGCTTGGACTTATAGTAATTTGTCTCTCCATATGTTGTATATATGTGTGTGTACACTTAGATTATGTGTGCATTCATGAGTATATGTACAGAGTCCGCCAAAAAAACGTATACACACTTCAGCAGTGCACCATACTAACAACTATCTGGAAGCTAGTGGCCACCGCTTTGACCACCTCTTGTAATTGTAGAGGCCAAAGGTCACTTGTATTACTCTCATGATATCTCAGTAAATTTAGTATTAAAATATTTATACAAGTTTTCCTATTCCTGATGTATACTTTTTTTTTGTGGACTCTGTTATATTGAAATTGGCAGTGCAGTACCTATATATATATTTTTTTTTTTCTGTTTTGCAAAATCAATGAAATGTCTCTGCTTTTAAGAGTAATGGTATCTTTTTTCCCCTTTCCCCTTTTAAACTTTCTGTAGCTCATCTGTGACAGTGGAGGGGATTATAATCACTCTGTGTTGCAGTTCCAAGACCAAATCGGTAGCATTGCAGCTGGCTGATGGCCAGATACTTAAGTGTCTTTGGGGTAAGTATCAAAGTTTTAGGAAAACATGTCTAGCTCTTATGAAATATTTAATTCTTGAAAACATGTACTTGTTATTTTCTTGTACTTGACAGTGTCATATCAGTATCTTGTCAGGGCTTTTTTTTTTTACCTCCTCAGTGCTGAGGCTTGAACCCAGCAAGTGCTTTGCTACAGAGCTACACCCTCAACCTGTTGACTAAGGCTTTTAATTATCCGGGAAATTCTAAGCTGTAGAGTAGAATTTGCAAATATTTTCTGCTTCTGTTTTTTCTTAAAATGAGCAGAGTGTCCTAGTGACTTTCTAAAATACATTTGGAAAGTGATATAAATTGTGTATTAAGTATTTTAGGAAGTATTGGTGTCAACAGTTTTTTGTTTTGTTTTGTTTTTTTAAAAAGAGACAGTTAGCTCTTTGTAAACCAGATATGCCAATCTTGCAGAGTCACCTTCTTTGGCTGTTGAACCATGGAAGAGCCCTGGTGGATTTCCTGTCCGATTTCCTTATCCATGCATACAGACTGAATTGGCTGTGATTGGAGGAGAGGTAAGTGAACACAAGATAAGGAAGTTTATCACTTAAAATAGTTATCCAGTGAATGATGTATAGAAAGAGTGTGGGCCTTGGAGTTGGATTTGAGTCTCTAGTAAATCCCAAGGCAACAATAGGAAGGTGTCTCACTTTTTGGATCCATACTTTCTTTATCTATAAGATGGGAAAATAAGTGTCTTTCCTTCAGGATTCATGAGAATTAAACAAGATACTGTATATGATTGGAAGATTTTTATCCCTAGTTTAACAGAATACTCAAAGTTAGTTTTACTCTATAATAGTATATAAGATCCTAATGATATAATTGACCATGTGAAATAGGAAGAAAAGGGCTAAAGGTATAGGGAAAATGGGAAGGGTAGGGGAAAGGTAATAAGGGAAAAGAAAAATTATGAGAAAATGAAAAAATGGAAATAAAGTGTTTGTAAATGGGGAGGGGGGGAAGGGGTGTAGGGAGGGCAGGGACAAGGGGAAAAATGAGAACCAAGACCTGTCATGTAAAGGTACAAGATCCCAATAATGAACGTAATTGTACTGTATACCTTAAATGTACCAATAAACTCAATTAATAAAAAGAACAACAACAACAACTAAACAAAATTAGTTTTACTGAATAGCATTTTAGGACAACAAGAGTGAATTCAAAAGAGTATTCACTAGGTTATCATTCATTAAATATTAGGATGCAGTGCTTATAAATTAAAACAATGGAGTTAATCCTCTTCTATCAATCTAGGTAAAACTATTCCTTCTGATGGGAGATGAAGGAAATCAATAAGGCATAATGATAAGAGAATAATGAAGTGCTTAGGAGCAATTACAGAATGGTAGCTGTGAAGATGGGAATCTTTGGTGGTGTAGGGAAACATCTCTGAGTCAGTGATGTATGTGCTGCAGTGTGAAGAAGAAAGCTCCCTCTAGAAATATATTCCCAGAAGAAAGAACTAGAAACATCCTGAGCTTGGAAAGCTATCATTGTGTTTAGACGACGCAGTGGAGGTAGTGTGGCTGGAGCTGAGCAACAGAAAGTTATTTATGATTTTTAGCCAGTTGAGTCATGTGTTCTGCTTCATGGTTGATAGGTGGTCCGGCTGCCCAGAGAAGTAGATTGGAGAGGCATGAGAGTGGAATGGAAGATCAACAGAGAGGAATTGATGACATAGGACAGGAGATGTATTCAAGATCAGTATAGAAGATAGTAATAACAGGACTTGCTGCTGGACTGGGAGGCATCATACTTCATTTCATATTGGACAGTCCATCTAGGGTATCTACATTCAGTTCTGGTTATGAGGACTTAGGTGTGAAATCATAAAACAGTAGAACTCTGTAATAAAGAAATTAGGCTTCACTAATTTGAAATAGAATTGCATTTAATTTGTATTGTGTTTCTTTGCAGGAATGTGTCCTTGGTCTGACTGACAGGTGTCGCTTTTTCATCAGTGACACTGAGGTATCAAGGCTTGGTTGGATGTTGGATCCTTTTTACAGTTTGGTCTACGTAATACTGCTAAACAACCCCTTGTCTCTTTTTCCTTGTTGCAGGTTGCATCAGATATCACATCATTCACACTATATGATGAGTTTTTATTGTTGACAACCCATTCTCATACCTGCCTGTGTTTTTCCCTGAGAGATACTTCATTAAAAAGTAAGTTTTCAGTGTATAAAATGGAAATGGCCTCTCCTCCAGGTCTTTTGCCTTTTGGAGTCTTGAAGACTTAATTTCTTCACCTACTTTGGCTTTTTGCCATGGAGTCATAAGCTGGAGAAAACTTTTAGATTTCATTTATTTAGCCTCTACCCTTAACATAATATCTTAATTAAATTATTCTGTATCACTAAGCAAAGATTTCCAGATATAGAAGTCCCCCCTTAAGTAGCACATTCTAAAATTAAACAAGAATTTTTCTATATAACTGATATGATATTTTACTTGGAGTTAGCCTCTAGATCCCAAACTAGCAGTATGCTCTAACTTTGGGTTATAGTCTTTCTTTTTTCATTATGCCCACTCTCCTTTGTACTTCTAGACTTCATCTTATGATTTGTAGGATATTGGCGTCCTTTTTATTCCATGCCCCATGTGTCTGTGTGTGTCTTCATTGTTTTAAAAAGCACACTTACAGTTCGATCCCCGGTACCAAAATAAAACAAAACAAACAAAAAGCACACTTATTTTCTTTGTTACTAACTTGGAAACAGTCTCTTTCTTCTATTGATAGGGTTATACTATATACTGGTAATGCTGTGAAGTAGAGAAGCTGCCCTGACACCCTTATGTTTTTCCAAATTGTTTTGAGAATTTAGACAGCTGTGTAAGAGCGACGACAGGTTCCAGGAATTATTAGATCATTCATCACATGGGCTAATAATCTTGAGGTTGAGTGGGAAAGCATAGAAACTGGTTGTTAATTGCTCTGTTTTGCTTAATATGTGTGTTTTATCTGCAGTTAATGGAGAGTGGCTTATGATAGTTTTCAAGGCTTACCTAGTGGTATTTTTAGCATTGCAGGCAAGTCTATGCAGTAGTCATGTGGCTAACGGGGAAGTTCTGCGGAAGGTGGAGAGGGGTTCACGGATTGTCACAGTTATGCCCCAGGATACAAAGCTTATATTACAGGTACACTGATTTTTCAGGCTTTGTGATTGTCATTAAGTCACTAACAATTCTTGAAGATTTTATTTTGGGCTCTTTTATCCTTTTAAGTCATTTATTACAAATTTCTGGTAGGTTGTTAGGTTTATACAATGGAGTGTTGATAACAGGCTCTGACTAGTTAGGCTCAAACGGAAGCTTTGCTTGAAAGTCAGATCAATACTGAGCACAACTAGATTCTGCTACAAGTGTTCTCATTGCTTGTGCAACATTGTGAAATAATGAGGGAGTTAAGTAAAATTATGTATCCTGCTATTCAGATTTTTGTCCACTTAATTAAAAACGTTACTGTTTTGATTCACTTATTTTTAAGATGCCAAGAGGGAATTTAGAAGTTGTTCATCATCGAGCCCTGGTTTTAGCTCAGATTCGGAAGTGGTTGGACAAGTAAGTGCCATGTGTATGACTAGCTTGACCCTTGTAGACAGTGAGTATTTTAATATAATTTTTACAGCTTACCAGTACAAAAAACTTTTATTGCAGATATGTTCAATCAAATTCTCAGAAACTTACTATTCACTTTTAAAATTATTATTCACCTTGATTTTTAGCCATACATTTAGAACTTCATTTCTCTTAGGGGGTTGAGATCAAATGGTGTCTTTATCTGCAAGGATTGTTTTCCAGTTTGTTAAATATTTTAAACATATGGAAAAGTTGAAAGAATTGTCCAGAAATATGCTGTCTTAGGACCCTAAATACTATACTAATGACCCTAATACTATATGTGGTGGTAGATACTCCTAACAAAATGAATCATGAAGCTCATATAAAGGAGGGCTTCTCTTAACTCAGCAGGACCTGAATGGACTTCAGGTGGTCTGTGAACTAGGAAAATTGTACAGCAAACTATCTATGTGTATTTATCCATAGCTTTTAATAGATTTGTAGAGGAGTCTTGACCCAGAAAAGCCTGGGTTGCTGTTGTGAAAGAAGCAATCAAAATTCTGAGTCTATTTGGAGCAAACTTTATATTAGATAGGTGTCCACTGATACTTTGTTAAAACAGTAGATCTGTTACCTGAAGCTTTTTTTGGATTATAACTGGTTTTTTATCTTAATGAAAATATGCTACTCCCAGGGAACTTACTTTTTGTGAAATACTCTTTCCATCCATTCTGTCCCCTCACAGGCTGATGTTTAAAGAAGCTTTTGAATGCATGAGAAAACTGAGAATTAATCTCAATCTGATTCATGACCATAACCCTAAGGTAATTTTCTAAATCTAGCATTTACCATAGCTTACAATATATTTGAACTAATGTGATCCCATTCAAAATGTTTGTCTTTTTTTTGGTAGGTATTTCTTGAAAATGTGGAAACCTTCGTTAGACAGATAGATTCTGTAAATCATATTAACTTGTTTTTCACAGAATTGAAGTAAGTATTTGATAATTCATAAATTTTGTCTTTTTAAGGAAATAAAATATAATAGCTAGAGAAATTACTGCTCATTTAAAAAATCATTGTAACTCTTAGATGCCAGATTTTATTTTCTCTTCTTTTAAAAATAGTCTACTTAAAAGTATGACTAAAACATGACATTCAATATTATTATTCACCTTGACTTTTAGCTATACATTTAAAACTGTTTCTCTTAGGGGGTTGAGATAAAATGGTGTCTGCCTGTGATGATTGTTTTCCAATTTGTTAAATATTTTAAGCATTTGGAAATTTGAAAGAATTGTCCAGAAATATCCTGTCTTAGGACCCTAAATCTCCATTTCAAATTTTCCTATATGTGCTTTCTCACCATCTGTAATTTGTCCACCCACCCATCTGTTTTAAACCGATGTCAGAGTAAGTTGTAGAAGTCAGTTCCACTTAATCTCTCAGGGCTTCACCTTCCATAGTATTAACTAGATTGTATTCTTTGTGTATAGGCTAGTTTGGGCACTTTTCGGAGATGGGGGGGTCGGTCTGCAGTGAAATGCACAAGTCACATCAAGTTCCTTAAATTCCTCTTCATTTAGTGCCTGTGTCTCATCCCTTGGGCAACTGTTGTTGTGAGTTTTTCACTATGGGTCATTTTACCTATTAAAGAACTACATAAAAACAGAGTCATACAGTATTTACTCTTCTGGGTAAATGAAGCTGCTTTCACCCAGCCATTTGTTTCAAGGTTCATCAGTGTTTGCACATGTATCATTAATTTGTTCTTTTTTTGTTGCTTAATAATATCCTGTTGTGTATATACTCCCATTTGCTTATTTATCCCCCAGTTATTAGACACCTTGATTTGGGTGTCTTTTGGGGATTAGTATGAATAGAACATCTATGAACATTATTGTACAAGTCTTTTGTGGACATGGTTTACTTCTCAATATTTTTTATATTTAAACTCTTTTCAAAAGTTCAGAGAATTTTCCAAGACTTGCATGTCTAAGATAGATCCCTGACTGAAAAGAATTGTAAAGCGAATCATTCCATTTATCTTCTTTCTTATATAAAATTTTAAAGAAAATCTTGAATTATTTACGTCTGAAATTGTTATTGCTAACTTTTACTTTATCTCATCAGCTTGTTAGGTATGTGTAACAGTTTGATCCCTGAGCCACAATGCCTAGTTAGAGGCCTATATATACATTTGTTCTTAGGGAAGAAGATGTCACAAAGACCATGTACCCTCCTCCACTTTCCAGCAGCGCCCATCTGTCCATGGATCCTGCCAAGAAAAACCTTGACATTATCTGTGATGCAATGAGAACAGCCATGGAGAGCATCAACCCTCACAAGTATGGGTGCTGCCATTATTGGCATCTTTTATGTTACAGAAGTGGGTAGTTGTCATTATCCAGCTTATTCTGCTGCTCTTCACTTACTATCTCAGGTACTGCCTATCAATACTCACATCTCATGTGAAGAAATCTACTCCAGAACTAGAAATTGTGCTACAGAAGGTACACGAGCTTCAAGGTAGAGACCTGCTCCCAGAATGTTTAATATGGGCTTGATAATCATTGGTCTTGTGCAGATGACATTACCGTGTCATTACCACATTCTACAGTTAGCATGTGACTCTTTGATTGCCATTTTAAGACCTACATCAAGTGTTTGGTGACCTATGAAGCATGTATGAAAGAGTCAAAAATGTGTATTGGTTTGGTGTCCAGTTCTGCAAAAAAATACATTTCTCTGCCTTTTAAGGTCTTTAGGTTTTCCCTCAAGTGATTCTGTTTGTATCTTTGAACACCAACAGAGAATGGTTCATCTGTTCCTGATGCTGTGAGTGCAGAAGAGGCCTTGAAGTATTTGCTCCTTCTGGTAGACGTTAATGAATTGTATGATTATTCTCTTGGGACCTATAACTTTAATTTGGTCATCATGGTAGCTGAAAAGTCACAGAAGGTATTGGAGTTTTTACTTTGCATCATTCTGGGCCATATTTATGTAGTCAGTAGTATGAACCTCTGCTCTGAGAGTGCAGTGTCTTGTCTGATGTTATTTTGTGAGTACAGAGCAGGACAAATCTATGAGTCTGCAGGACCAACACTGCTAAGCTTTATTCTTTATTGTAGTTCTCTGCTTATCAACATGTTGAGGACTTGGGGTGCTATTCAGTGGTAGATTGTTTGCTTAGCATGTGCACGGAACACTGGGTTTAATCACTAGCACCAACAGAAGATTGAAGATGTGAAATGAAGTTATTTTTAAAATTATAGTATGTATTAATTATTCGCTTATCAAGAAAATATAAGTGATTCATGTTCTGCTCTAGTTCTTTATTGTGTAGCTTTTTTTTTCAATGTAAAGTGGAAACATGGAGGATGGAAAAGCTCAGGGCCTCTTTCCCACCTTGGAACATCTACTGTAGTCAAAAAGTTTGTGCACCTCTGGTCTGTGTATCTTTTAACCTGTTTTTTCATTTTGTTTTGTTTTTGTTTCTTGCAAAATCAGTGTTTGCTGTTGCAGAGCAATTTTTCCAGAAAGAAATATGTGACCTTTCTTTGCTTGAAATCCTTCATGAGTTAACCTACTGTCCCTGGGATAAAGTTGAGAAGTGATAACATTGCTTAGAAACCCTTCTGTAGTCTCATGTATATGCATCTCTTCCTTCTCATCTCTTGGCAAATCTTTCTCTCTGCTCCTGGAGGAAAGGCAGTGCACATGTCCCTCTTCCCTCCTACTTTATCACCACCAGCCACCACATGCCTTTGTGGGTAGCATTACTTTTGCCTTCTATGGGCCCAAGGATTTCTATTGCTGCCACCCTCACCTTTTGCCCGGCTCTTCTCATTTATCTATGTTGAAGAGTGCCAAGGTAGTATCTACCCAGTAACCCCCATTCTTGCCCCACTTCAGAGACAAGTGAGATGCTCTCAGGTCCTACCCATGCATAGCACAGCCTGTCTCCTTTTAGGGTGTAACTTTCCTGAGGTTAAGAGTTAAGTTGCATTCTTTGTACTTATTCAGTGGTTGTACAATATACCGTGATCATTTAATTACTTACTGTCTTGTTTTTTTTGCAATTCTGGGGGTTGAGCCCAAGGCTTTTGCACTAAACTCATGTCCAGCTCTTTTTTACATTTTTATTTTAAGACAGGGTCTCAGTAAGTTTCTGAATTGCTCAGCTCGAGCAATTTAAAATCCTTCCACCCCAGCATCCCAGAATGCAGGGATTACAGGTATACACCACATCTCTTTAGGAAGAAAACAATTTGCTTATAGGGCATAGCACGAGCTGGAAATGGTAGTGCCAACAAATATCAGTTTTGTGCTCAACTCAGTATGATTATACATTTGTTTAACATGTTTGCAAACACCAATCATGGAATGTCAGGAAAACACCAGCAAGAGCAATGCTTTGCACTTTTAGAAGAAATACGCGTACATTTGTTGAGCATCTTTGAGATTACAACTTGACTTTCCTTATTACGCTATGAAATGAATAGCTATTGTTAAGGGTTAATCTTTATTTCAGATGTAAGCTAGTGATACTCATATGTGAAAGCATTTCTACCAAAATTTGCTTGTAGTTTGGTTTTATGTGTTACATTACATATAATCATTAGTGTATACACATTTAAAATTATTCTGCTGTGGATTTATTGCCATAATTAAATGTTGTATATATATTTAAATATTAAAAAGTAATAAAGTTCCCTTTCTTATTTTTTTAGGATCCCAAAGAGTATCTTCCATTTCTTAATACGCTTAAGAAAATGGAAACTAATTACCAGAGGTACACTATAGACAAATACTTAAAACGATATGCAAAAGCTATTGTTCACCTCAGCAAGTGTGGTAAGTGTGAGAGCTAGTATGTTTATTTCTTCTTCAGATCTTTCTTGGGAATAGCCAAGGTATAAATTAAAATAAAAGATTATTTTAGAGGGCCGGGGATTTAGCTAAGTGGTTCCGCTGCCTGCCTTGCAAGCACTGGGTCACAAGTTCAATTCCCAGTACTGGGGGAAAAAAAGAGATTATTTTAGAAACTGATTTCACTTTCTGCTTTGAAAACTATGTTGTATGTTCACCTGCTGAGCATAAGGCAAATCACCATTGTTCCCAAAATGGAGTTGTTTCCTAGCTGAGAAAGAACATGGAGTAGATTCTTTTTGGGATTGAGTACCTCCTAAGTTCACTTCAGTCCCTCAGAGTAAAAATTATTGATAATCACTCTGCTTGGCATTGAGAGAAGCTTTTCTGGAGTGAGTAATGAGACTCCCATCTAGTTCCCTGAAAGAGTTTAACTGGAAGTGATGGAGTAAAAAACACCAATGCCCACTAGTCTCCTTCACCCCATCCCCATCCTATGGTGGAGTAGTTGATTGTTTCGTAAGAGCTGATGTGGGAACAAGGACTTGAGTGCTAGTTAAGCATCCTGTTTTCGGCTTCCTTGAGGAATTTTGATTTGAGGGAAGACTGAGGCATGTGTTTAATAAGATCCCCAGGAGGTCTTTATCAAGGAGTCTGAAACAACACTTGAGCAGGAGGATGGTGTAGAATGCAGATCCTAATTAGTGCCCTTCCAAATTTGCAGTGGTGCTTGTTAAAAATAGTTCATTCTCTAGGTACTCAGATTATTTGTTGTTAAAAAGGTCCCACTTTAATTTTGTTTGGGAACAACTGATATAAGCAAAATCCATTATGCTTCCAAAGTCTTAAGGCTATATTGATGTGAATCTTATTCCTGCAGGACTCCAATACTTTCAAGAATGCTTAAATTTAATAAAAGACAAAAATTTGTATAAGGAAGCTCTGAAGTTATATCTACCCAACTCACAGCAGCACAAGGTGTGTGGTATGTGAATTGAGGCTCTCCTGATTTTGCTATGTGTGGTGCATGGCTTACAGATGATACAACCTGCCTGAGGACCCAGAGCTACAAAGTAGCAGATATGGGATACACAGCCTGAGCTCTGTGACCACTGAGGCCATGTCATTGACTTGCTGTACTATGCCACTGTCACAACTATTTTAAGTTGTTCACATATTACACACACATTCTCTGTCCCTGCTGATTTCTTTAGCACCAGTTTCTGCGACTTTCCACACTCCCTGTTACTTGTATGTAGCTCCACAGATGTTATACTTTGTAATGCCTCTTCCAGCCCTCTGCCCTCCCTTCCTGTAGCCCCAGTTATTCATAGAAATTCTCATTCTCCTCTGCAAAGTCATTCTTGTACCAAACACTGAGCTTCCAGAGCTGTTTGTGCCCTGTCTAGAGTTATGCCCCACCTCCGTTCTTCACATGCATTCTTCTCCTCTGGGCCCTCTACCAGAGATAGCCTTCCCTTTACTCTCTGTCGCTTTTCTCCCCTCTTTATAGCCATCATATTATAGGCTGTATTGTGTCAGTAAGTCCGTTCTCTACTTCTGTAAGAGCAGGAGCCTGTTGGTGCTTCTTGTTTGGGTTTACTTTTGCATCTGTGTGTTACTCCCACTGCTTAGAATAGTACCTACATATGTGCTTTTAATTGTTGAGTTAATTGATGGTACATCCCCAGTAAGGTTTTTTGTGTTTTTTTTGGTACCAGGGATTGAACTCAGGACTTTGCACTTGCCCAGTAAGGTTTTAAGTAGAAAAGAGATTGAATTAATTCATCAGTAATAGGATTCTCTGAAGTAATTCAAGACTTCAATGACTAAGGCAGCCTGCTTCGGAGGTTTAAATAAACAATTTAGCTCAGTGGTGCCACTGCCTGCCTTGCAAATGCAAGGACCCGAGTTTGATCTCCGGTACAAAAGAAAAAACAAGAAATAATTGTCACATTTCCTCACTGATACTCTTGTCACAGGCCATCTGCCTTGCTTATGGGGAGCACCTGATACAAGAGCACCAGCATGAGACAGCGGGGCTTGTGTTTGCCCGCTCTGGTGCCTACAGGGAAGCTCTCTCAGCCTTTCTGACTTGTGGAAGCTGGCAGCAAGCCCTCTGTGTGGCAACCCAGCTTCACTTGTCCAAGGACCAGGTGGCTGACCTAAGTAGGACTCTGGCAGGTAAGCAAGGTCATTTATTTTATCCACTTCTTCAGAAGTCTTTTGTTTGATAATTTCGCAAATGAAGGACAGCGTATTTTGAGACAGCCTCAAAGACGCTTAATTTCGAATGATCTGTCAAGCATGGTAAAGGTTAAGCTGGTACAAAAATCTCAGAATGGGAACTGAGGATGTGGCTCTGGTAAAGCCCTTGCCTAGCATGTTCAAGATCCTGGTTGGTCCCCGGCTCTGGGAAAAAAAAAAACTCCAAACGAAAAATGAGCCCCAAAGTATAATGACACACTAAAGAAAAGAGTTTATTTCCCTCATATAAGGTCTGATAGATTCCTCCATTGTGAGCCTCTGCAATCTTGTAGATAAATAGTTACAGCTTGGTTATCTGTACATCTGCTTTCCAGTTCTTGGAAGGGAAGAAAAGCCAGACTAGTGGGAAAACACTTAATTGTTAGGTTGGAAATGACCTGGAAATTACACTATCATTTCTAGTTCATCTCATTCATTGAAACTTATGGTCATAAGTTACACTGTACCTGGGTGGCCATGTGCCCTATAAGAAGGTAAAGATAAATTTGAGGGTAAGCCATTTGGTATAGTTTGTTGAAAACAATAATGGCAATTGCCAGGAATGGGGTGAAAGAAAAGGCCAAATATAAAAGCAATCTAAAGTGAAGGTAGTTTAGCAGCTTCGGGGTATAGTGATTGCTTGAACTAAAGGTGAGGATCCTGAATAGTGCCTGGGTCCTTAGAGGGGAAGAGAGGTGAGTAGGCTCTAGGTCTCAGCAGTGCTAAAAAGAAATCAATGACTAGTATGCTTTTTTTCCTTCTAGCTATTTTTTTTCCATTTTCTGTTGCTAATAACACAATTAGCACAGGCTAGGTAAGTTACAAAGAAAAGAGGTTTATTTGGCTCATGGATGCATTCCAAGGTTGAGAGCCTGTGTCTGGTGTTGGCCTTTTTACTGACCACATCCTGAGTTGGTGCAGTACATCTGTCCCGTGTCGACGAGAGATACAGTGTGTGCATACGTGTGTTCTGGTCTTTTACTCTCTTCTTACAAAGCCAGCATTATTCGGTCATGAGAATCTACCCTGTCTAATCCTAATCACTTCCCAGAAGCCCCACTAGATACTTTGTCAGATTATGTGACCCTCTTAACACCTCGTAACAGGAATTAAACTGCAAAATACCTTTTGGAGGGATAAACTATATTCAGACTGTAATATCCATTAAGTTTTATAAATATTTGTAAATATTGTTATAAGTATTTATAAATATTGTTATGGTTTTTAAAAAGTCTGCAAAAAATCTAAATTACAGCTTATTAAAGTTGTGAATGTATTCTACTTTGCATTACTTTTTATGTGGAATTAAAAAAATATATGAGATTATTGCTTTTGTAGTCTGATTATTAGATCTATATATTTCTCTGTAATCGCTCTCAGTTTCCAAGCTGAAGTCTTTTTTTTGAAATTTTATTTATTTTTTATAAATATTGAGAATTCCTTGAGTTCTTTTAATAATCCATTCTGAGGGCGGCGGGGATTTAGCTTAGTGGCACCACGCCTGTCTCATAAGCACAAGGTCCTGAGTTCAATTGTCAGTACCAAAAAATAATAATAGTAATTTATTCTGGGGCTGGGGATTTAGCTCAGTGGTGCCGCTGCCTGCCTCGTAAGTGCATGATCCTGAGATCAATCCCCGGTGCCAAATTATATATATATATATATATATATATGAATTCTGGCTCCACTCTAACTTCTTTTGAAACTCTTATGTTATTGATAGTTCATATATCCTAGCACTTTTTTGGGGGAAATCTAGTAGCTTTGCTAATATTTATAACTCTCAGCTTGCTGTCCCCTGTATCTTATGATGGAGTTTACTCAGTTCTTTCAGATGTTAAGTGAAAAAAGGCAGGGAGGATAATAGTGAGGGATTTTTGAGCAATGTTATAAGGTGGAGCCATTTTATGTTCATATTTAACTTGGGCATTTTATATAGGCAGCAAAAGATAACTATTAAATAGTAGAAGCTCTTCTACCTCCTTTTTCGGTGAAAATGCGCTACCCTGGAATGAGCATGAGATGGGAATCATGATTCTGCCTATCCCTTAGTAAGATGTGGGTTTTGTTTGTTTCTCTCAGTGTTTTGTGTGTGCGTGTGTGTTTTGTTGTTTTGGTTTTTTGAGACAAGGTCTCCTTATGCAGTTCAGGCTGGCCTCAAACACCCTACAATCCTTAACTCTGGTAAGAATAATTTCTGGGTGCTAAAGACACTGCCATGCCCCAAACATAATGCAGCTACCTCCACCTAGTGCTCAGCCAAAGAAATAGCAGTCTCTTTCTGTTAGAGGAAGAACTAAATTAAGGAGAGGTGTCAGGTCTGTTTCCCATATGCATATCTTTGGAAACCTTTTTTTTTAAGGCTAATTTAGACTGTATGATTTTTCAGATCCTGTGCTAAATGCAGATTCTGTCACTTAAGATAGAACTCTATGGTATATATGCCTGTTCCCCTCACAGAGATTCACAAAGTGCATAGTTTGATACATAACAAAGACATATTATAGAACCACTTCAGCCAAAAAATCTCTTTGTTGTCAAATACTTATTCTTCTCTTGGCAGGAAAGCTAGTTGAGCAGAGAAGATACAATGAGGCAGCCATAGTTCTGGAACAGTATGCCCAGGTAAGCTCACCTCCTCCCTTGTACAACCCTAGTCCTGGTTGTGCCATACTGATGAAAAGTAAAAGAACTATGAGGTTCCAGTTTTATAGAAGTTTATAAGGATAAATGCATGTACGAACTTTGGATAGAAGTATAAAATTAATTATCAAAATAATAGAATTCCCTGGCCACAAGGAACAGGACATAGGTATATAGTTGGCACAGGGATTACTTCTTTGTAGGACTCTGGCCTTTGATGCGAGAGGTTTTTGTAGTTACTATTTGCAGGTAAATTGACTTAATATCATTGTCCTTTTTTTTTTTTTTTTTTTGAGACAGGGTCTCACTATGTAGTTGAGACTGACCTGGAACTCACTATGTAGCCCAGGCTGGTATCGAACCCACAGCGATCCTCCTGCCTCAGCCTTCCGAGTGCTGGGATTATAGGCATGTGCCACCACTCCCGGCCGTAATTGTCCTTTTAAGATAGCTCAGTGTGTCTTATGTAATAAAGGTGAGAGAAGATGACTAAAACTTTATATTATTAGATCCTGTAAAGAAAATACATTGAGTGATTAAGTTAAAAATGTCAGTGAATTCCTGGAAGGATAGAATAGTTGAAATGGAAAGATACACTATGTCACATGGTGGATTAAATTGGATAAGTTGTTGCCATCTTTTTTTCTTTATAAAGAAAGGGTAGTTCTGAGCCAGGGATTTAGCTCAGTGGTTCTGGTGCCTGTCTCACAAACACAAGGACCTGAGTTTGATCCCCAGTACCAAAAAAAGAAAGGGTAGTTCATAAAATTATAATTGTGTATTTACAGATAGCCAAATTCACCAATTTTAAATGAATTGTATGAGCTTTAACAGATGTTAACAGTCATATAACCACCCCATGCTCGTGATGCAGAACATTTTTAGCATCTCAGTTGTTCCCTGCTTTCTCTCTTAACAGTCTTCTTCCTTGATTCCAGCCTCTGGCAATCACTGATCTGTTTCTTTCGCTAAAGTTTTGCTTTATATAGAATTTCATATAAGTAGAACCATGTGTATATAATTTTTTTAGTCTGATTTCTTTCACAAGAAATCTTTCACTGTGCTTTTGAGATCCAGAGTATAGCTCTTATCAGTAGTTTATTTCTTTTTTTGTTGAATAGTTTTTGATTGTGTGGGTGTACAGTATCATAATTTGTAGACTTAATCACAAGTTGATGTAGACTTGTATTTGGATTATTTTTTCCCCTGGTGTGGGGTTCTTACAAATAAAGCAGCTGTGATCATTCTATATAAAGCTTTATAGATGCAGGAGTAGGAGTGCTACGTCACATGGTAAGTGGATGCTTAACTTTATAAGGATCTTACAGAACTGTAGAGGATTTCCTAAGTATTTTGGGGTTTCTTGTATTCATGAGGGTTTGTAGTTCCTTATGTTTTTGTGAGATGTTATATGAGGATAATGGTGTTCTTATAAGAGGAATTCCTTACTATTTTGTTTTCTGGAAGAGTTTGTGTAGAAGAGTCCATCTCCTGGTTAAAAATTTATGTGACTTTTCAGGGGTGATTGTGAGCAATTTACCGAGGTGGCCTCATGGGGAAAAGCCATTCTTCCCTCACCAGACATGCTATGCCACCTGTGCAATACAGATATACAGGGAGTTGCAGCCAGTGGCTCACACCCATTGTCTTGTTCTTGTTTGGTCCACATCTGTACTTTTAGCCCTGGTGCTTTCATTTCTAGGTCTTTTGATCTTAAAGGCTTGGGCCAAGAATGTTTTCAGATACCTCTGCCTTGATCTTCTACTGTGGGAAACTTCGAGGATGCATTTCTCCACTCTCACTGCCAGAACTCTCTCACTTTTAGCCTTCCCCATTGACAGCCCTGAAAATCCTCAAAGTCTGGAAAACTGCTGAAGCCTTTTATTCCAGACTCCTTGAACAGTGGTACAACTCTCATGCCTGTACCGATTAATTATGAGCCAGTGTGTTTGTTGTTCCTTGGGAAAGAATGAAAGAACAGGGAGTTAGCACTTTTTCTGGGGTTAGCTTCTAGCTTATACCAGTGCTCTTAATAAAGGCTTCACTATTTCATTTTTGATTGATTGCTTTGGTCAGCTACTTCAACTCCTGAAAGTCCATTATCTCCCAGCTCAGCTGAGCTTCTGACATTTGTTTTTTTCTTAAATGTGTAGTAAAATTGTCAGTAAGTCACCTGGGTCTAAAGTTTTCTTTGTGATAAGTTTTTCACTATGAATTCAGTTTCTTTAGTAGATATAAGCTTATTGTTACTTGTTTCTTCTGGAATGAGCTTAGGTAGTTCATGTCTTTCAGGAATTTGTCCTTTTAATCTATATGAAGATAGGGCTGGGGATTTAGCTCAGCGGTTCGGTGGCCTGCTTTGCAAGCCCAAGGACCCGAGTTCAATTCCCAGTACCAAAACAAAACAAACAAACAAAAAACTGTCATGTAATCTATATGAAGATAAAGTTGTCCTAGGATCTGTAATGATACCCTATCCTTTATCTCAAATACTGGTTGTTTGTGTCTTTATTTGTTTTGCTTTTGATCAGTCTGGCCTGCTAGCTATACTTCTTTAAGTATTATATTAATAGTTCTACTTTTTAGAGTAAATAACATTCTTTTGCCATTCTATCCATTCAAATAATAGCATACTATTTTGTATATACTGGTGTAAGAATCTTACATGAGTATGCCTCCATTCTCCCTCTTGTCCTATATAAGTTCACAGCATTTTAATTCTATATACATTATAAATTCCATAACCTATTACTACTTTTGCTTTAGGTGATCAAGTATTATTTGAAGAGATTTTAAAATGATTAAAGAATATCTTTCTGGGGCCAGGGATTTAGCTCAGTGGTGCCGCTGCCTGCCTCGCAAGCACAAGGATCCCAGTTTGATCCCTGGCACCAAGGGAAAAACAAAAAACTTTCATAGTATTTTTTTTTCAAGGGAAGCCATTAATTTTTTAAATATATTTTCTGAGTTTTAAAAATGCAAGGCACTCAAAATAGATTACAACCTAAATTGAAGAGATAAAATTATAAAACTCTTAGAACAAAATATAAAAGTAACTCCTCATGGCACTGGATTTGGCAGTGCATTCTTAGAATTAACACCACACAAAAAACAAAATTAAAAACTTGTAAATTGGGCTTTATAAACATTAAAAATTTTATGTATCAAGGGCTGGGGATTTAGCTCAGTGGTTCCACTGCCTGCCTCACAAGTGCAAGGTCCTAAGTTCAATCCCAGGTACCAAAAAAAAAAAAAAAAAAAAAAAAAAAAAAAAAAAAAAAAAAAATTATGTATCAGGAAGATCATCAAGAATATGAAAAGAAAGCTTATAGAATGGAAGGAAACAGTATTTGCAAATCAAGAATATATAAAGGACTATAACTCAACAAAAAACAAAGCCATTTAAAAAGAGGAAAGGAGGGCCAGGGATTTAGCTCAGTGCAAGGTCCTGAGTTCAATTCCTGGTACCACACACACACACACACACACACACACACACACACACACACACACAAAAGGAGGTCAGGACTTGGGTAGGTATTTCTCCAAAAATGATGTATAAGGGCCGGGATTTAGCTCAGTGGTGCCGCCGCCTGCCTCAAAAGTGCAAGAACTGGAGTTTGATCTCTGGTACCAAAAAAAAAAAGCATAAATAGCCAATAAACACATGAAAAAATGTTCACAGTCATTGATTATTTTTTTAGTTTTCTGGGTTTTCAAAATACAACCTTGGAGAGAAGAATGTTAAAAAGAGCAAAAAACCTTAGAAGATAGCTATTGTAGTCTGCCATGATTTCAGAATGTGGGCCTGTTCACAGTTGGGAGCCTCCCTGAACCCACTGAATCAAGTCTGGTAGTGACAACCAGGGGAAGTAGGTATTTCTTTCAGAACTACATGATGGTTTGGATGCCCAGGAATTAAAGAGGTGATACTTAAGCTTGTGTTTTATCATCACTTCGAGAAGATAGCACTCCTCTTTTGTCTTTTGTATTAGTGTTTATGGAGATGAATATCAGAGTACACTAGGCCAGGCTCAATGCTGAGAATGAGAACTGTAGGAGATTAAGCTGGCCCAGGAGGTGGAGGCTGCCCTGGATTCTATTTTGTAGCAGATCATGATGACATGACATGTTACTTCATTCACCTGTTGCCTTACTTGCTGTTCCCTTGTTAGGATTATGAAGAAGCTGTGCTCTTGCTGTTAGAAGGAACTGCCTGGGAGGAAGCTCTGAGACTGGTAGGAGAATTCTATAAATCCTTCCTACGGTGGGTGCTAAGCAGAGATAATGCAAAGGGGATAAGATCTTTTTGTCTTGAATGAGTGAAGCTAAGTAGAAGTAGTTCAGGATTCTGGTCTAAGGATAAGCAATATTTTCAAAACCATTTTATCCTTGATAATGTTTGAATTCACCCTCCATTTGTGAAATAAAATACTGTTTTTAATTGAAATGAGTTGAATTTCTTTGGTTACCTTATACAAAGCCTGTTCCTCAGGAAAAAAATATCCTGGTCACTTCTGAAAGTGATCCATAGTTCCAAGTATCTTGACTATCCAGTATGTAGTTTTCCTGCCTGAAACTGTTGTGTTTTTCCTTTTAGGTATACAAATATAACAGACTGGATATTATAGAAACCAACATAAAGCCTTCCATTTTAGAAGGTAAGGGTTACATTTTGGATAGTATTCCTCATTTGGAAGTTCAGAGAACAGTAGAAGAGATGTATGAACACCCTTGTGTGCTATCACATTCTTTAACAATATGTTTTGTAGACTCAGTCCCAATTTTTTAGATATGCTAAACTTTTTAGTGGTTACATGCAAAAGATATGAATGTTAGAAACCTGTGGTAAAGTATGATTGAGGATATGTATAATGCATAGGTTTGGTTTTATGGCAGGCCCATCTTCCTGGATCTCTTACAGTTCCTGTGTCAGAGCAGACTGGCTCCAAATTATTGCCTGGCCTCTGCACCTGGCACTGAAATGGGATGCACAGTTTGGGGAGAAGGAATGAATCCTTGTATTTGAGAACAGTTTGTAAACTTGTACATGAACTACATTAGAAATAGTATTGTATTAATGGTCAATTTCCTACGTTTAATAATGCTATTGTGGTTATGTAAGATAATGTTCTTAATATTCTTAAGATATAAATGCTGAATCAGGTGAGGTGATGAATGCCTGTAACCCCGGCTACTTGGAAGGCTAAGGCAGGAAGATCACAGGTTCAAGGCCAACCTGGATAACCTAGTAAGGCCTGGTCTAAAAAATAAACAAACATAAATAGAGGGGGCCAGGAATTTAGCTCAGTGGTTCCACCGCCTGCCTTGCAAGCTCAAGGTCCTGACTTCAGTCCCTGGTACCAAGAAAAATAAATATAAATAGGGTAGATAGATAGGCAGATTGGCAGGCTGGGAGCATTACTCCTTGGTAGAGCGCTGGTCCGATATGCGTGAGGCCTTGGGTTCAATCCACAGTGGTACAAAAAAAGAAAGAAGAAAAGTGCTGAAGCATTTGGAAGTAAAGGATCATGTCTATAGGTTAAGTTCAAGTGATTCCACAGAAGTAACATTGAGTATGTAGGTATGCATTGTAGGCTTTAAATTTTTCAAAATAAAAAAATTTAAAAGAACGTTTGTAAATGAAGTTGCTAGTTCCTAGAAAATCAGTGACTATTACCAGTGTTAGAATAGTCTGGTGGTCACTGGGACCCCTTAAAAGCAAAAGAAAAAAAGAATATCCAATTGACCTACAGAATTCTGAGGACGTAAGAGTTGATTTTAAGCTCTGCCTTTTAAAGCAATGACTGGTGTTTTTTGTTTTGTTTTTTGTACTGGGGATCAAACTCAGGACCTTGCACTTGCAAGGTGGGTGCAGTGCTGCTGAACTAAATCCTCAGCCCTATGTCTGCTTTTTTTTTTTTTTTACTTTCATGTTTATTCACATTCTTATCTTGCCTCCTTCTTCTCCCCCTATCCTAATTAAAGCTGTTGTTCGAGTACTTTTTGTATTACTTACTGGTTATTCCTAACTAGATAAGGAGAACATCTTTCCTGAACCTATAACAATTCATCTAACCATCTTTCACATTTTCGCTACTGAGAACCTAGAAAAATGCTGATAATTCTTTTACCTATTAATAAAATATGTCCTTAATGCCTTTTTTTCCACTGAACAATAATTTTCAGAAGTCATTTCACTCATTTATCCTATACCCATGAGCATTTTGATGGAAGAAATGTTTAAATAACTTTTTACTAACTGCTTCCTGTGTACCCCTTTTATTTGCCAGTCTTCTCTGGGGTTAGATACCAAACCTTCATTCAAATAATTTCATAAGTTTAGTGGTAGAGAGTATACTGAATTTTTATTTTGTTTTTATTTTTGTTTCAACACAGGGTCTCACTGTGTAGTACAAGCTGAATTCTTATTTCTCCTGCTTATGCTAGGTGTACTGTGTGTGCCACTATTCCTCACCAGTACAGAGTATTTCTGGGATAAAGTTGATAAACTCTGAGATCTGGGATTTCATTCTTCAGTTCATTAATAACATATCTTTCCCTTGGTTTGTTGAATTTTAATCTGTCTCACTGGCTCCTCCTTTAGATTTTTTATCTTTGCTTAAGCATCACTTAAATTATTTTCCATTCTGTATCCTAGCCCAGAAAAATTACTTGGCTTTTTTGGATGCTCAGACTACCACATTCAGTCGCCATAAAAAACGCTTGCTGGTGGTTCGGGAGCTCAAGGAGCAAGCCCAGCAGCTGAATCCAGGTGAGTGCCTGTGTAAGGCCCATTGATACTTGTGGTACTGGCACCACCACACATGGTCTTAGCTACTTTGTATCTGTTTCCTGTTGCTGTAACATTACCTGAGAATGGATACTTTGGAAAGAAAAGAGGCTTATTTTGACTCAGAGTTCTGGAGGTACAATAGCGTGGGGCCAGCATCTGCTCTGCTTTCTGTTAGTCCCGTAACAGAAAGGAGCAGGTGAAAGGCTAAGAACAGAGCCATTTCACTTTAGAGTAACAGTCTCTCAGCAACCAATCTGGCTCTGCAAAGAGAATTTACTCCCATGAAAAGCATTATTATTCTGTCTTGACCTTATCAACATTTAAAGGTCCCTGTACTTCTCAGCTCTCTCATTGAGGATTTAAGCCTCAACATGAGCTGGTAAGTGGGGACAAACTATATTCTAACTATGACATTGTTTCTCCTGTGATTTGATCGCTGTGCCATGATAAACTCTGAGACCCCCTTCAGGACTATATCTCTGTGTGTTGGAGAACAGCTTGGGGCCAGAGCCAGGCATAAATTAGGAGAGCTTTGCCAAATAGTCCCACCAACTGCCATTCAGCCAGAGCGTGACTATTAGTTTCCTCATTTCTGAGGGAGTAGGAGAGAAGAGAGGGGAGAGATTTGGTAAACCATTGATTTGAAGTAATAATAACGATTCAATATTCAATAACGATTCCTTTGTCTTGAGAGCAACTTTGTAATTATTTTCATTGTAATAATTTTCATCGTTTTTATGTGCTGGTTGACTATAGTTCACTTACCTCACTAAAGCAGGGAATTGTTTTAATGTGCCTCTTCTAGATTGTGAAGTGCCCTGTGATCAAGAGTCAGACCTCTTCTCTGAAACTAGCAGCGTTGTGAGTGGCAGCGAGATGAGTGGCAAATACTCCCATAGTAACTCCAGGATATCAGCGTACGTATCACATCTCTTCAGCACATTGATCATTCACTGGGTAAACAGAGAGAATAGAAGCATAGAGAGGTTGGTTTCTACTAGGACCATGCAGTGGGAGTGGGGTGGCTATTCTTCAAGGCCATGTGGAAGTTATACGGGGATTTTCCAGCATAACTGAGACTAGACTTGTTGCCATGAGGCACTTCTATTGGGAACTCAGTTTGTATAACATCTGTTTTTACTAATTGCACAATCACTATCTTGTACAGGCACTGAAAAAATAAAAAGTTTTGAAGACAGGCTTCTTCAACTTGAAATCAAGATAGGAAGAGATCAGTCATAAATATAAAATAAGTCATCATATTTTTTTTTTTTTTTTTTT